ATATCTTATAAGACTTTTACACTTTGAGCTCGTTTTTGCTTTGTTTACTTGCATGTTTGTTTAGTTTTATTGACTTCTTTGCTATATTTTTACAAATATATCTATTTTTTCTACATTTTCAGTACACATGAATAAATATTAATAAAAGAATTTTCAAAAGCTCTTCTTTTTAACCAAACCATTTTAACAAAGAACACAAATCTTTTTTTTCAGTTACGTTTGGCAAATGTGAAGTTCGATGTCTGATACGGACCTCGTATCCTTTTGACTATAGGATCGTTTCAGAGCCTGATACCCGAACATTGTCCAAATGTGGTCCGAGCGTAGTTCGATTTATATACATATATATCATATATATACATACTTATGACGTCATATTATGAGTGACATCATATTATGAGTGACGTCATATTATGAGTGACGTCATATAATGTGTGACGTAAATTAAGCATGTTCTCAACGTCTTTCCGCGCACATGTGCTGTCGGTTACAATCTTTCAATCATTCCATATAAACTCATGATCGCATCACGTTGTTTTCAGCTTGGAACATRACCTTGAAGTCTGTGTTGCAATATCCAAACATAGTGCATACATGGAACCACGTGACATGCGCTGATCAAGCGCGGACTTRGAATATAAATAAATACCAGTATCAAAGACTGTGATATTGACGGGATTCCTTTGGTATTCAAAGGCGAGAAGTACTGGGCGCTGATTGGTCTTCCATAACCATAACCATACTGACAATATCTTAGTGGCTCTCACCAATCGAGTCTCCTGCCCAGGCCCTTAAGCGTGAGCAAATGTCAATAGAGCTGGGTCGGTCGCAGGTTTTCTCTTCCCAGCATTCCTTCATAAGCGCGTAAATACACGCAGGGCAGGAGTCTGGGCACGGYAACAGCTCCATCCTCCTTATGCGCTCTATAGCTTCTTGGTTATTAAGCCCYGTATATGGCTGGAGCCCAAAACTATAAATCTCCCACAGCAAAACACCGTACGACCAGATGTCRCTCKGGTGAGTGCAATGTAAAGTATTTAGAGCTTCCGGTGCCATCCAGCGGACCGGAAGTAACGAACTGCCRTGAACCCATGAGTAATCYAGGGGATACTTTGTATTGCCAATTCCAAGATTTGAAATTTTGACGATTCTTTCTTTGGTAATGTAGCAATTACGACAGGCAACGTCTCTATGAACAAAGTGTTTTTCCACTAAATAGTCAAGTCCTGATGCAACCTGAAGAGCAAAGTCCAGTAAAAGCACCTCGTCGGGGTCGATGTCCGGTTGGTCGGTCGTATTAACGGGGGTGTAATCCCTTAAGAATTGATTGAGGTCGATGTCTCCGTAATATTCAAAAACCATGAAGTAAGGATTGACGACCGAYACGCCAACGAGGCAGAGKACGTTGATATCCTGAAGATCTGCTAAAACGTTAGTCTCGTTTCTGAAATTCTCAACGACTTTGTCAGGAACGTTGGTCTTCAGTCGCTTGATGGCAAGTTCGATGTCCGATTGTTCGTGTTCGCAATCCATCAAGACTCCTTTACAGACTCGCGCAAAGGCACCTTCACCGAGAACCTCCAGGAATTTAACTTTACCTTGATTGCCGTCGTCCATCTAGACATGAGAAATAAAAAAAATCTAAATTCTAAATACCACATTATAACTATAAYAGCATATTTGTTGGCATTATTAGAGAGAAAAGATTAAACCACTGAAACAAAGTGTTACGTCTGTCTTACACTASTGCACAAGCAGAAGCGGAAGCCAAGAACAAACGAAAAGGCAAAGTAATTCAAGCGTGTACCGACATAACAAACAATATAACAAACGTAAGCTTATTAAAGTTTTCCTTTGTGTTTTGTACATTACTCCACTTGTTTATATTTTGGCTATTGTTCTTTGTTTCACCAGTTCGTGAAAAACACTAAGGTGTATTAGGCTAAAATCTATTTCACAGGTTTATAGTAAACCGTGAAATACACTAACATTAAATGGCATTAAATTGAATTAGAATCAAACTAATAATCATAATACCAAACTTTGACGATGACATACCACGTTGAAGCAGCAAGACTTTACATCCATCAAACTCTGCTTAAARTCATTACTAGGTTGGTGTACGGTACTCTGKGTACTCTTAGAAATGGACCCCGACGAGGAGTCATCTCTGTACGCTAGAGAGTTTCTCCKGTGTTGTATCTTYAGATASACAATAATAGAGACGAAGGCCACGATCAGAACCCCCATGATGCTGCATATAACGTAGATTGTACGATTGCCWGACATCACAGATTTGGGTTTATCGGTGGTTCGTTGGTTTGCTACTGAAACTAAACAGTCACTTAGTTAAAAAACTTTGTCCGGCATCAATAATTGTCTAATTTCATGTAGTGAGAGACTGGGTAMAAGTCTTGGGAGACTGGAAACTAGTCTAGGGAGACTGGGCACAAGTCTCTCTAATCTCAAAAGATWAGACACTTATCTCACCAAAATATAAAAYAAGGCAACGATTCCTTAAAAACTTACCGACATCAGAACATTTACGTAAATCACAGAAGTCGTACTCSGTATCACTSACGTAACACCATGGRGCTTTTCGRTGATTGCGAGGGTTACGGCAAAAATTATGYGAAAAGTTGTACACTGGGTCATACAATCCCCAACGCTTGCATGGGTGACCTGATTTGGTAATGTTCTGTCTGCCAAGGTAGTCACTTCCAGTTTCATTGTAGCAATTTTCATCTAAAATCAACGATTTGGAGGTGAAATTGGGATGATTGGATAACGATTTGATATTCAGGGATTTAATTTTAGTTTTCTAACCTTTGGATCTGTCCAAATGAGACAAAAAAAACTTGTCAAATATAAGTGGAATTCGAGGAACACTTCCCTCTTCTGACGGAAAGCCAGGATTTCCTCCTTCTGTAGACCAAATCGGAGGAATTCCTTTTTCTGTGAAAGAAAGATAAAATAACGTTCAATCATCCAAGTATAAATTAATTAAGCACTATAGAATTTTCAGTGAAAATTATCCGGAAGTTAATTTGCCCGGAAGTTAATCCACCCGGAAGTCAATTTTTCCGGAAGTCAATTCACCCGGAAATTACGTTGCCCGGAAGTTAATTTACGCGAACGTTAATTCGCCCGAGTATAAGAATGATTGGTCAATACAAGTAAATTTTCTAATCATAAATGATAACAAATCAACACCATCTAAACATACTGTAAATCCCGAGTGATTTGCAAAACTTGCGGTCTTTCTGATTTCTCGTCGGCAATCGAGAACAATTAGGCAAAAGTTTTGCAATTCTTGGGTCTGCTTTGGCAACTTGAAGCTCCGTCGCACACACATTGTCATATAAAGCAAAGCAATCTTCTCGGCAMAGCTTCGGCTTTGATTCGCTTCTTTTCGTGTCACACGAGTTGAAGATGTGATAACACAAGGCTTTTATGGCATAYTTCCGACAAGTTTTCGTCATATCTGGAGCAGCTCGTATTCCGTCAAGAGTGTCTCTGAATTCTATCTCGATGCTCCTGACGTTGTACGATGTAAAGGCAAATACCAKTTCGCCGGCCATGAAATCCGCGCACGTCTCGCCTCGATATGGCTCRCAGCGAGGGTACTGTTTGCGCCTCGGTTTGGTATCTTAAAAGAATAMAATGAAAGAGAGTGAATGAAAGTTGACTTTCGTTTCTCCGACAAAAAGGGGGAGAAAGTAGTGTGCCATAGGGTCCGAGAAGTGCTCTGGATAAGGTATGTCTGCTTGCATTTTGAYGGGRAAAAGACGGTTTAAMGTATAAACTTAACCCGTTTAAAACGTCGAGGTTGATATGTGATKACTTTAATTCAAATTACTTTTGTCTAATTGTCCCCACTGTTATCTCCATTGAATTGAAGTCAGTACATGTGAGATTCGCCGGTATAAAAAAATAAGCACAGGTAAAAACACACATTTCTCAACCTTTTGATAATGCTTACGTTTCGTGGCGCGGTCAGGTGCCCTGGTAAAGAGTGGTGGGTCTGARGTAATTTTGTCCGCGTTATCTGAAAAATGAATAACAAAGTTAGAACGATTCCAACGCATTAAAAATTAGTAAAATTTTGCTTATTATAAATGCGAAAAATAACGAATAGATTACACGTCTTAAATTGATGAAACAAATATATTACTAAGTGCTACTTAATAATGTTGATAAGACTAAAGAAAGCCAAAAAAATTAGTATCATTTAGTATCAGAATTAGTATCATTTAGTACTTAGAAAATAGATATAACTTTGAAATAGATATTCCATTAATACACTTAATTACGCTCTATGCTAATTGCATTGCTTTTATGTCTATTTGACTATTCTCTACTTGCACATGACCCATAATACCTTCTGATTTTGGGGGGTAGGTTTTGTGATGCAAATAAAATTAATTGTTATTCAAATATAAATGATTTCAATAACAATAACTACCCCCCAAAATCAGAAGGTATTATGGGTATGCGCAAGTAGAGAATCAAACTTAAATACAGTCAACTCTCGCTATTACGGACACCCTCGGGACCGTAATTTAGTGTCCAAAGTAGCGAGAGTCCGGGAGTTACTTTCAGTCATTTCTTTGTATTTTTCGCCGGGGATTCAGTATTTTACTGTCCGCAATATCGAGGTGTCCGTTGTAGCGGGTTGCCCGTAAGGCGAGAGTTGACTGTAGTCAAATTTTGTTTCACGGGTTTAATGGCTTCACACTATCTATTCAAAACCAACTGATGTTTGTTATGTTATGTTATGTAGCGGGGTGTCCGTAAGGCGAAAGTTGACTGTAGTCAAATTTTGTTTCACGGGTTTAATGGCTTCACACTATCTATTCAAAACCAACTGATGTTTGTTATGTTGGTTCTTCTTAATCAGAGTTAAAAGCTCTTTGTGAGGAACCAACGTCCGATTATCACTTACTACTGATAGGTGGAATACGTGTTCCTCTTCGTCTAATATTCAACCAYCCAACYGCTTTTACCGTCCTCCCCGATGTCCTAACGAAACACTGGTATTTCCCGCTGTCTTCTGCGCGTGCGCGACGAACYCTAAGCCGGGACCCCCACTTAAATTTCTTGATTTTGAAACGTGGGCTTATCGGTGCTCCGTCTTTCCGCCATGTGATATTGAAAGGGATTTTCTTGGTGCTCAATCTACACTTTAAAGTGACTGATAGACCTTCATACATTGAGATGTTTTGGACAGTGGCGCTAAGAGATATGGCTACAAGAAAAAAAAATATGAGAGAGTTAGCAATGGTGTTTATAACCAGTTTATATAGCGTCAGTCAAAATATATTCGGTATAAATCTTGGACTGAGTTGCACGAATGAATCGAATAGTCTTCTTCACGGTTCCCTGCGCCATCTTGAAAGGTAGCATCCAAGCAAGACAACCGTTGAGCGTGTAATGATAGAAACCCTCTTTCACACCTAACTACAGACAATTATTCACAGGTATCTATCATTGCACACTCATCAACGGTTGTCTCACTTCGATGTAAAGGCACGGCTACACTATTAGATGTCATCGAATCGACTGTAGATTGAAAGTGTCTGTGACTTGGATCGAAATAGCAGACAAATAGTTGAAATCAAGAGTGGGAGGGTAGGGGTGATAAWCTTACCTTTCATAGTTATTCGTATGCATTGCTTGTATCCCGGTTGACCTCGAGATGGTAACGATGARCAGTTGTGCGCGTATTTACCACCATACGCTTTCGCGTAACTGAACTCCAACTTGCACACATCGTGTTGTAAAGCATAGCAATCTTCGTGGCAAATTTCTCGCTTCTTTGGCTTTTTCGACGAAGGGTCACAGGGAGGMAGCATCGAATAGCAAAGTGTTGGAAGAGCGTATTTCATACAACGGTCTGTGAGTCGATCTTTGATCATWCGATATACTTGTTTAATGCGATTCTCGCCTGCGAGTTGGCTTTGCTTWAGGTAGATTTTCTTTCCTTTGAGATACTTTGAGCAGAATGTCCCTCTGTATYTCTGACATACTGGTCGTCTGAAAACATGGAAGGATCACAATTTATTATAACAAGCCACTTTCACTATGACGTCACACACTACCTAGACCAGAATGCTTTGCGMACTTTCTTTTGTAATGTAAAAAGCATAAAATGAATTATTAACAGCTAAAATAATGAGAAGGTTCGCAAAGCATTGCGGTCTTCACACTAAAATGACATATTATAATCCCATTTCTTGACTGAAGTCAAGACTTGAGTTGTAAAGCCTAGGACAGTCTGGGGCCGACGCATGAAATTTGTCTTTATCATTTCCATCTTATAATTAATTCCATTATAATTATTTTTTTTAATGATTATTAGTATTTTTTGGATAAGTTTAATTCATGCGAATTATCTCTATCACTTTCACTTTAGTATCATTGCTCATGCACCATCCYCCAAAACTAGACTTCAAATATGGAAGAATAGGAGCGGCGTTGTTTGTTAATACGGGGGAGTACGTGTTTGTTCTTACACATACTTTTACACACGGTAACACAGTGGTACACCGTCCGTCAGACCGCAGTAGCCACAAAAAGTCACTTCTTTCCTTATCTTCGCTCCCACACGAATAGAGAGCGGATCAGTATACATACCTTTCAATGACTCAGAAATAATTCCCATGGTGCTTAGCGGTTAGCATGCATACATTAACATAATCAACATAATTTACGGTACTTGACAATTATTTTTATCCACAATCAAATCTGTATGAGATCAAAGAATTCGACCAACGTAGTGCAACTGGGTCACGTCATTATCACTGTTTGCGTATCAAAACGATTTTTAATACTTTTTTAAACGTTGCAAACCTGAAAATCCGCTTCTTTCCACATCCTTTCCAGATGCTTYARAGTCTAATGTTACCGGGGKAGATGGGTGGGAWGCAATGATGGAATAATCAAGAATCCAAAAATAGTTAAAGAAATTATTGACAATAACCCCTTTAATCGGTCTTTCGGACACTTAATTAGCGCTCTAAAGGTGTTTACTATAACAAGTGCTGACCGTCTTTAACTACTCCACAATACTCCACAACAGCAATGGATTATATGACTTTATTCGACGTAGGAGTACACGAATTATACTATTTCCATACAAGAGGTTCAACACTTTTGCTCATTGTCAATCTACATGTCGGATAACCCAGTGTTATCATACTCCTCCAAAGTGTTAGTGAGTGGTTCTGTATGGTTATCGTACGACCTTCTAGACACGGGTTGTCTTAACTACTACTCYTWARRRKTTT